AGCAAGGAGCCCTGAATTGGCTGTTTCCTTTGCAGTAATAGTAATCGTATAAAGAGTAAACCATAATATAACAATATACTGCTACAAGCGGTTGCGCTGGAGAGAGCTAGTGTTCAAGTTTGACCGGAAAATACTTAACTATAAATGCAATTTTGACAAAGCGTCAGAGACGTTAAAGGCAACTTTTTTATATCTTATTGGAACTTAATTAACTATTCTTTCCTATCAGTACAATACTATAGCATTTACAGCTGAACGTTAATCTAGCTTTTATTTTAATATTCGTAAGCAATAAACGCTCCCGTGACGCGTAGAGTAACAACTAACAGTATTTCTAGTCGATGAGCATATTAATTAGAAAAAGCGATTTTCATCGCTCTCATCTACACCTAGTAAACGGGTTTGTTTACTAATTTTACTACTGTTCGTATTATATGAACACTATTACTATTACGAATTAATGTTCTCTATTGTTGATATTATACTTCAACTTTGGAATTTATACAGTAAGAATGATTACATTTGTTGCCAAGCCACGACTTTATTTCCGAGCTATATTTGACCATTACTATTACTATTATCATTGCGAAATTTAGTGATCGGATCGTCACTAAATGATAATGTAAATGATAGCATCTCAAAATGTAACAGAATATATATATGTACACTGCTAGCTACTTCTATACATCAGGGGTTTATGAAATAACTTATAGACTTGGTATTGGGTCTATAAAATTTTACAGTAGATCATGATAATGGGTGTTGGAGGTCCAACAATTGGTTTGGCCTTAGACAATTACGACGAAAGATATCCCTGCACATACCAGTTACTAAGTGTCTGATATGATGTACCTTTCCATAGGATCTGACTAGTATAATATAAGACAATGCCAAGACGACCTAATCACCGTACTAAATATGGTGACAGAAGAAGCAATATTCTTGTCTTCTAAGTTCTGCTGTGACAGGGTCCATACCTTTAGAAAGAACGTTTTATTGGGTTAGAGCTAACCCGATCCAGAAATTTAATAGACGGATCTGATGGATAATAAGAGGGGACTTGTACAACCTATGATTTGGATTATCTTGCATAAAAGGAGTTCAGAGGAATTACGGCTGCGTGCGAACAAATGGAGAGCTTCCCTACTCCACATCCTATTCATGTTTGTTGATACCACAAGATTTAAAAGATTGAAAGCCAAGACAATATAATCCAATAATCTGTACGATGGTAATAGCCGATGGCGGTCACCATGGCCGTCAATTGTTTGAATGGTTTAGGGATGCATTGACGTAATTTTATTGCTATCCCCACAAAAGTCTAGAGTGCGGGGCATGTCGTACAACACCAATTGAGCTAGTCAGAACGGCGGGGGTACGTCTTATTGTTTATACCGAGATAGTTAGTATAAAACAGTTCGTTTATCGTACAAGTCGGGAGTATCCCCAGTGACGCATATGTCACAAATGACTCCTGCCAAATCAAGTCGTTATCTTATCGGAGCAGCAATCTGAATCAGAGTAACGGCTGGCGCTTTATAAAATCAGATCAATATTGTTATGATTAGAAAGGGCTTGATTGTTACACATAGATGTTACCAAAGTTTCAATCAATGAATGTATATTTATTATTATGTATTTGAATTCAATCAATAAATTTGTGTTACGCAGATAAGTAAACGCCTCATATAAAATGATATAAATGATGCTTATCAGTAATCTCAACCAAAAATCACTTCATCCATAACCTTCAAAATATCTGAAAGCGTAGTACCTTGCCAACAGTATAGAATTTCTGTATGTATTATAAGATGCTTTCAAAACATACACTCAAGACCCAAATATAAACCTTTCTACTAACTATCATTGATAGTGCTATCACCTACCTCAATAGATACTATGTGTGGGATCTTCGCTGTCTACAACTATCAGGGCGATATCAATGTATATCGTAAGAGGGTACTGATGTGTTCCAAGAAGTAACTATCTCTAATCTCTGTATACGTCTCGATCTGTACGATAAGACATTGAGCCTGACACTTTTCTTTCTTCTCTTTGTAAAGATTAAGACATCGTGGCCCTGATTGGAGTGGATGTGTTATCAAAGGCAATCACATTCTTGCTCACGAGCGATTGGCCATCGTTGGAGTAGGTGAGTACACCAAGATAACCAGTTATAACTTGTGTCACACGATCGCTGATAAACTGCATGACAGGAAGTGGTGCACAGCCTATCACGAATAAAGACGAATCGATTGTCCTTGCGGTTAACGGAGAAATATACAATCACAAGGGATTGGAGAAACTAGTACCAGGTGCCAAATTCAGCACTCATTCTGATTGCGAATGTATACTTCACGTGGTATGAACAGAGTCTTTAATATCGACCGATGGTTGACCACAAAAACGCGGTTTGCATAATAATGAATTTATATCATTTCCTAGTACGCGAGAAAGGGCAACGCAGTTGTTGAACACCTCGATGGCATGTTCTCCTTTGCCCTTCTCGATGTCCCCAATAACAAATTATTGGCGGCACGTGATCCAATCGGTATCACTCCTCTCTACCAAGGATGGTCATCTGATTCACCAGATACCGTGTACTTTGCCTCCGAGATGAAAGCATTACAGGATGAATGCGATAAAATCATATCGTTTCCACCTGGACATTTTTATGATTCATCTACGAAAGAGACGACTCGGTACTATCGTCCTCCTTGGTGGAATCCCAGCGCTGTACCCACAGCACCAATTGATTATAAGCTGTTGAGGGAATCGTTGGAATTGGCTGTGCGTAAGCGTTTGATGAGTGAAGTGCCATACGGGGTCTTGTTGAGTGGTGGCTTGGATTCTAGTTTGATTGCTTCAATAGCTCAACGAGAGGCAATCAAATTGGCTGCAAATCAGAATGGTTTTGCGGAAGGCGATGTCGATGAGAGTGAGTTTGTTTTTACAGCTGCTGCCAGTGATTTGTCTATGATATTTACGAGGGCATGAATATAACTCGTTACTTGGCTTTCCCTCCTCCCCCTTTCCCCCATAAACTCCACAGGCGCATTGGAGTCATGGCCAAAACTTCACTCATTCTCAATTGGCCTTCCACACTCACCAGACTTGGCTGCTGCCCGTAAAGTTGCAGATTTTCTTCGCACTATGCACCACGAGTTTACCTTCACCATTCAAGAAGGTCTCGATGCAGTGCACGACGTCATTTATCATCTCGAAACTTATGATGTGACGACCGTCCGTGCGAGCACGCCAATGTACTTGTTATCGCGAAAGATCAAAGCCATGGGAGTTAAAATGGTGCTTAGCGGAGAAGGAAGTGACGAGATCTTTGGAGGATATCTTTACTTTCACGCTGCTCCGTCCGCCGCTGACTTTCATGAAGAGACCGTTACTAGGGTGAAGAATCTGCATACGTCAGATTGTTTAAGAGCCAATAAGAGTACGATGGCATGGGGATTGGAGGCAAGAGTACCGTTTTTGGATGCGTCATTCCTTAATGTGGCTATGAACGTTAATCCCGAGGAAAAGATGTTTAAACCTGGCGGTGAGAGAATGGAAAAGGTGCGTCTTTTTGTAACTGGAACAATATACGTTTTCATAGTATTTAATATTTAGATAAATACATATGGTGAAAATTCTTTTTGTCTAGTATATATTGAGAAAAGCTTTCGATATCTCCACCACTGGTGACGATCGACCATACCTCCCAGACTCGATTCTCTGGCGCCAAAAGGAACAGTTTTCCGATGGAGTAGGTTATAGTTGGATCGATTCTCTTAAAGCCACGGCAGAGAAGCATGTATCCGATGAACAGCTAGCCACTGCAGCTGAACGATGGTCCAAGGATACGCCAACAACAAAGGAAGCTTATTGGTATCGTGAGATGTTTGAGGACTCGTTCCCAGAAGATTCTTGCATCGAGAGTGTTGTCAGGTGGATTCCGAGATCCGATTGGGGTATGTATTATATTATATTATATTATATATACGTGGCTGCATAAAGGACATGCATATTTGTCTTGTGTACATGTCTTTATACCAATCAATCGTAATTGCTGCCTTTTTAACACAGGTTGTCCTGAGGATCCTTCTGGTCGTGCCCAAACTGTTCACAATGCGGCATATGCTAACAATAAATAACTATCATTTTTTACTTTCATATATCATTTTACATTTTTTTAGTCATTACAAAGCATCTGCTATTCAATAGAATAGTTCAATATCTTAGACTATCTTGTTCTAATGAATGTAGTAATGTATATTTGGCGATTAATTACTTATATCAATATATATATACATGCACATATATTTCGTTGAATAAAAAACGCTTAATTGTCACTATAATACAGAGTATACACTTAACAATGAGATTCGGCGGGGGGAAAGTATGCCTTGGAATCGTCATCAAAAATACTATTCACTTTTTTAATATCTCGGAAGTATTTCTATTTATTATTATAGAAAGCATTTTCTAATTTTAGCATGGTCGTCTTTTCAGACCATTTTGTGATCAGGAACTTTGTTTGGTACCCTATGATGTATGATGTGTGCAGTGATCGCAAATATATTTCGACCTGTCGACCAAATACAAATGGAATGGTCATATAGTTTCCGAACGGAGAATAATACATCAACACTAGTAAAACAAATTTAAATAGCAAAACTTTGGAATATTTTTTTAATCCTAATGGTACCAAGCATACGCACGCGTATTCGTTTTTATTTTGGGTGCAACAAGTAGCCGTGCCATCGAAAGAAAAAGGAAATTAATTGTAAGCAGCACATTCCGTGTCGGAATCGCCCAATCGTCACTCAATACAGGTCTCATCTGTAGTCGCCTAATTAATAAGGCATAGCTACTATAACGCTAGTCCACTTCATCAAATGCATATAATAGGCATTCAATTATACAAGCGATTTATATGATAATATATTAATGTCAATTGGTATAGTAAATCAATACATATTATTACAATAAGTCCCCCCCGCATTCTACGAATCCTTCTTCTCATTTTTCATCTCATCTGACCTCTTTTCAATCTTGCTCTGCAATTTCCAAACATCACAAAAGGTCACCTGCCCACTCCCCTTTTGCCATCCATCAGGTAACCGCTCCTCCTTCAGAATCACTTTTGCAGTCTCGACGTCAACCTCTTGATTAGTCGCTTGTCCCAGTACACTCAAAAGCAGGGCAGATTCACCATAAGCAGTTTTACGTTGTTTCATTCCAAAGCAGCAGTCTTTGTTTCGTTCTAGTGAGTCTTCGTACCGTATGTTACGGAATTTAGCGAGAGTATCGATGGTGATGCGGCCATCCACAGCATGGGAAAGAAGATCGTCAACTAGAGATGGATCAACCTTGATATTGTTGCCTAGAGACGCATCTTGTCGTGTTAGAGATGCATCGTGTTCGATCACGTTATGCTTGCCGAAATCTTCGAGAGAGCTGGGTAACAATGTATGGAAGATATAATGAACAATGGTGACATTAGTGCAACGAGACTAGTTATAGAGAAAAGATAATTAAAAGGAAACGAGAGTAATGATTTACAAGAACGTTAACACCGAAATGGTCATATACGCATTTTCCCTCTTTTAGCTATTACCACATATTAATTAGCTGATTGAACTTTTCTTACCATACTCCTTTGCTACCAACTAGATAGACAGCCATCCTCGCCATAAAGTTAGCGAATCCACGGGACACGTTCAGGTGTTTGTTAAGTGCCTCTGTTATTTGTGCAGCTGACAAATTCTTGCCGTCGTGTGGTCTACGTAAAGTGTGAAAAGCGTTATTATGTAGTATTATTTCAGGTCATGCATTCGTTAACTGATATGCTTACAAATAACCATGATTTGCTAGTATGTTAAGTGCTGGGCATGGTGATCTGAGGTCTCCTTTGCCAGGCGGCTTCCACTCTGAAGTAGACATTATGCTGTTGATTAACGATCGTGCGAACTGTGAGAAATACAAGGTATTTATATGGAAATTGTTGCATTCAAATTCGGTAAATATTAAGAGTAATAGTAATAGTTACCTACTCTTCGGAACGTATGAGATGATGTCATACAGGCCTGATAACGCCATGCATTGATTTAGAATTTGGTAGATCACAATTAATAGTGCTTATCATGGTTCGCCACTTCTTGGCATCTACAATATTAATATGTTAACATTGTAATGAATCGTTTCTCAAAAATGATATCATTTGAATATGCGTACTCGGCTGGCGACTGGTTGCGGACTTTTTTATTATACTGCGAGCAATAGATAATAGACGTCCGAGACTATTAAAGTTTATTACGGCTGGATGTGGCTGATAACCATATGCTTGTGATACAGACTTGGTTTGAGCAGCTGAGTGTTTTAAAGAAAATGATGTTTTGGAGAAATTCCCAACACAGAGTTCAGATCCAATAGTAAACCTCTGCCTGTTGTAACAGAGACGAAGGGATTCGCATTATAGAAAGCATGTTTGGGCTTCTATTACTTTCTTTCGATTCATAAGAGTCTACAATTTCTTTTTGATCATTCGTGAATAGGACTGACATCCAATGTCATCAATTGTGCATGCAGACATCTAAATGAAAGCTGGCTGAAAACTTGTCGAGCTCATACAAATTAAGAAGCATATGATGTAATTGACATGGAGCGCATCATTCATATAATTCATCGTCTGCATATCCAAATCAACGATCGAAGATTTATCGCCCTTTCGTAATTATGCTCCATCTATTAAGTTGTTATTCCGGTAAGTTGATGGTGCAGGGCTATCGCTAAATATCGTATTCTTTTTTACGGAATCAAAGACTGAGGGGACTGAGTCAAAAGTAGCACTATAACATGGGTTAGCAACCACAGTATTGAATATATATTCCAGCGATGCGAAATATGTACATGTAACGTTGCGCCTTCGACATTAGCAACGTCGTAATTGAACGGGCACTCGTGTTTAGTTGACCAGTCAAAAATCGAACACGACGCGAACAGATGCGACTTAGTGATTATATGATAACGTGATCGTGTTCCGTGCTTATAAAGAATGGCTAGTTATTAATTCAATATCAAAGTATGTATGTACAAGTTGCTCCTGGACTTTTCTATTGTACTGTACTTAACAAGATTATCACATTACTATTGCGATGCGCGAGAAATTATATAAATTCCAATTTTAATTTGAGTTATCAATAATAATATCTATATTTCCAACAAACTTTTGTATGGTATACATCTTCGACGATATATAAAATGAGGGAAATTGAAGCATATACGAGAATTATAAGGTTGAGATGTGAATTTATTAGCGAGGGATGAAGAGTATGGATATTGGAAAGCTTTTTATATAATATATGAAATTCGTATCCATCACTACAACTAAGATTGTTGAGTAAGTATATCGCGAATTTCTCCTGCTTGACACTCATGTCGTTTAGAATGGTAGCGATGTTATCGGTTGTTTCGGTGGGGGTAGGAGATGAGACGACGGAAGAAGAGACGGAAGAAGAGAAGCACCGCCTCAACCGCCTTTCTCACGTTTCTTTTTCAATCGAATATCTCGAACGTCATTGATTCTGCTGTCACTATGCAGATACTAGATCGAGAGCGGACGACTCATCTGTGGTGTCAAATAGGAAGCAACAAAAAAAGAATAAGTACAAGAACGTATGAATCAGTTAAAGTGGTAACGGTTATCTTAAATAGCAAGGTGCATATGGACGGATGAATATAAAACAAAACAATCTGATATAAAAAAGAAGCAATACATACATAATGCGTGCGTCAAAGAGCTAGATTGCTCAGTACTTCCCCCGCCAGAATTCTTGCTGTTGCCTCCCCAGCCTCCTTCAACTCCTCCTTAGCATCTTTCGGCTGTTTCTTAATATCTCTCTTGTGCCGACCAGCGCCAATTTTTTCTTGTACCGATAGTTGGCGCCACAATACGTCTATGTAACATAGACGCATTGTGTTGAATGTTCGTGTAACCGCCCGTCTTGGCCGGTGTAGGTGGCAGAAACATCGGTTTCTGGAGAGCCTTAGTCTCCATAGTTGGCAGCATGATGCTACAATGCTATTTGATACGCCTCGGGGACATGGACGTATTGTGGTAAATGTTCGTGTAGCTGCCCGTCTTGCTGGTGTAGATAGCAGAAAATTCGGGTTCCCTCCGCTGCACGCTTCTGTAACCCCACCAACTCGGCCTCTGCCTGCGCATTCCTCTCCGTCCTCTCCCCCAAAAGCCGTAGGCTTACTTTCACTGCCGCCTGGTATTCCTTTAAATCGGCGGCGGTATTCCTGGGCATTCGCGGCTTGTGCGGCGTAGTTAGTAGGTCGGGCTATATTGGTGTCTAAGGATTGTCGGCACATTACTGGAAAACCGAAAAAGAAAAAAGTGTTTACTTGGCCGAGGGCGGCGAACTAGTTAAATTACTCTGGGCGCTGTCCCAACTGAAAACTTCGAAGACACTTTGGAATTTGGGGTGTACTAGCGGAGCTTTGAGTCAAAACGTTTCTAGCAGACCTGGTTGGGTATTTAGTGTTTACACCCAATCATATATTAATATTAAGGTTCGTCCTATTGGCTGAACCTCATTTCAAATGACGCGGATGAAGTCCACAATCTAGTAGTGTAATTATTTTCTTCTATTCACGATCGTTAAAAAAGAAATACATAGTAGCAGCATGCCAACCCGACAAGTTTGACGTGATTTACTTAACCCCTAACTATTATACTCACCTCTATACCGCATATATCAGCAAAATTGACCGGCTGATAAGTAGTATCTAAATGACCATTCCTGTCTCAGAAGGCATAAGACTTTATTTTTAAGTTATATGCAACTGGTTTTAACATTATCAACTAAGTAGACAAGAGGTGGAATATGGAATACATTTCCTGAAAAAAAGGGGGCATGTTGTAGCAAGTATTCCCTAAGTACTATCAACCATTACGGTAAAAGGCAACTGGTCCAGTACATAACTCTTTGTTTGTTGAAACATTGTTTCAGTTAGATATAGAATACGAGTGATTAGACAGGTAATAAATGCTATATGTTTAACGTGATGTGTTGGAAGCAGGAAGAAAACACCAGTGTGGTATTAGCTATTACCGTGTGCTTAACATTATTCTTTTTTTAGAAGCTGTTGGGTTTCTACAGAAAAAACATTTCTGTAGACAAGAGGTGTTTGCTTTAGCAATGATTATTGAGTTGATAGAATTTCGCGCATGGAAAATTTGTTTTCTCCAATTATTCTGTGAATTTTTTAATATTGATATAGTATTTAAAGACCAATTTATCCTTCGGCATATTAATAATATTCGGATGAGATTATTACCATCGGCTACTTTGGCCTTGCTTCTAACGTGAACTATTAATTAACCGGCTTAGCCAGTAATGAAAATAAAATTTGGTTTGTCTTATTTATTACATAACGCAAAAATCGCCAACGATGAATATTTGCTGTTGTTGTTGCCATTGCCGTTGCTGTTTCATTCCATTTATGTATGTGTGGAAACGATAATATTATCGCTGTGACGTTGGGCCTTCATTAACTTTTTTTATGATCGCTGATAACATGTCAATAATAGAATTATGTCAGTAATATAATTGTCAGAGAGCTTCAGTAGCACTATGTTCACGTTGTCCGGTCTTATTGCCATGCTCCAATTGATGCCCACGGGCGCATTGAACAGCGAAGGATCTCAATGGCGCAAATTACTGTTTCAGTTAAGTACTTTTATCCGTAACTCCGTAACCGGGGGTTAATCCTAAGTTGGTAAATCATCGGCCTGTGTACTATTACTATATTCCCAGCTTTCGGAATTCCAAGTTATCGACCCTTGTCACGTTTCTAAACAGTATATGTATCAGTCTGTTCCTCTTGTCGACAAAATATTATGAGGCTTTCCACATTTAAAACCGACTGGGGTCTCTGCATAAGTATTTAAAAACGATGTTGAATCGAATAAATCAGTTGCTATTAATTTCAACGTATCATTTAATATTCTATGCAGTATTTAAAAAGGCATTCCATGTCAATCTGCTGATTTCTCTGCTAAGTATATCGTTATATTAGCCCAGATTCAATTCACCCCAAAATGAATGTGAAAATCACAATATTCGCTACTCAATGCTCAGGTGGTCGAACTATGACGTTTTAGACCATGTACGGGAAGTGGTGTAACAACCAGCCAATTGAGTCCATCACTTCGCATGCTTAACATAAGTTATTTGTCGCCACAATTTGTGCCATAGATCCAGAACATTTAAATATGAATTATGGGAGAACTCAATCATCGTCTCTTTCTTTTTCATCCTCCGTGAATTCTCAGCTGCTCGATTGTTAATTCGAATCCATCAACAGAGATGTCACCCACAGAAACAACAACTGCAGCATTCCGCGAAGCAGCTTCGAATAAACAAACAGAAAAACCTTTTCCAATGGATGGAACTGGACTCATAGCAATCGATCCTTGGCTAGAACCCTATGCAGAGGATTTAAGGCAGAGGTAAATTGGTACTGTAACAATGTAGCATAGATCGAGATAAAATTTTCTAAAATAGAAATATATGTTGATTTATTTGTTGTTGTTTTAATACGATCTCGACACAAATGCGAAACTGTGAAATTTAACGACTACATTCGTCAACTATCTAAATTCACGTCTAATATTTTCGATTCTTATCAATTGCAGGTACGCACAATATCAAAAGTGGGTAAAAGATATTGAAGAATATGAAAACGGATACGACAAGTTTACTCGGGGATTCGAGATTTATGGACTAAATGTACAACCAAATGGAGATATTGTATATCGCGAGTGGGCACCTAATGTAAAGGATGCAAGCTTGATCGGTGAATTCAGTACGTTTGGCCGAATCACAATTATTATAATTACGAGGGTCCATTATGTTGTTTAGGATGTGTTAATTCTTTTTGTCTATCCGTGTACTCATGTCGCATTTCCCATCTTTGCATTAGATGGCTGGGACAGAACGAAACATCCAATGACAAGAAATGCCTTTGGTGTGTGGGAAGTCACTGTGCACGCACTACCCAACGGCGCTCCAGCAATACCTCATGGTTCCAAAATAAAGGCAAGTCTAGGATCTTATTCTTGTTTTTTAGCCTTATTCTAATAGACAACATCTTTTATCAGATTTCGATGACTACGCCTGAAGGCGAACGCATAGATCGTTTGCCAGCATGGATCAAACGTGTTACACAAGACCTGACAGTTAGTCCCACTTATGATGCCATCTTTTGGAACCCACCAGAGAAATATCAATGGAAGAATACGCAACCAAAGAAACCGGAGAGTTTGCGGGTCTATGAAGCACACGGTGAATATTATTATGATTGATAAAGTTGAATCGGTTGAGATGTGTGTGTTGCGCGAATTGAGTGCCTGTTTCAAGTTTAGCAAGGGTATAGGATCGAATACGTTAAATGAACTCGGTAATTAATACATTTTTTATACTATGTATCCAGTTGGTATATCGGCAATAGATGGCAGGGTAGCCCAATATGATGAGTTCACGGCTAATATCCTCCCACGAATCAAAGATCTTGGCTATAATACAATTCAATTGATGGCTGTAATGGAACATGCTTACTACGCTTCATTTGGTTATCAAGTGACAAATTTCTTTGCTGCATCTAGTCGATATGGTAAGCCGCATTTATTATATTAGAAAAATCGAATATCATATTTTAAAACTCAGTATGCTATAATGATTACATTATATATTGAAGGTCCACCCGAAGGTCTGAAACGTCTTATAGACACAGCTCACGGAATGGGATTATATGTGCTATTAGATATCGTTCATTCTCATGCATGCAAGAATGTGCTCGATGGATTGAACATGTTTGATGGTACTGACCATTGCTATTTCCATGAAGGTGGAAAGGGAAGGCATGATCTTTGGGATAGGTGTGTTAACAAGGATGATACATAATATATTTGTGAATAGGATTCAATTATTCTTATCGTGATGTTGCACTTTATTTAGCCGACTTTTCAATTATGGTCATTGGGAAGTCCTTCGCTTCTTGCTATCAAATCTTCGCTTTTGGATTGAAGAATACAGATTCGATGGATTCAGATTCGATGGTGTGACTAGTATGCTTTATGTACACCACGGGATTGGAACTGGGTTTTCCGGAGGATACCATGAATATTTTGGATCTACAGTTGATAATGAAGCGGTTGTTTATTTGATGATGGTGAGTAACATGGGAAATATACAGTAAACCTATTACCAGAGTTTCCTGGCCAATTTATTTGGTGTTGTATTAAAGGGCTTCGGAATAGCGAGGTTCCTACATCATTGAATTCATTAGGCTGGACTTGGTTATGGTTGTGACATAGGGGACTCTTGGAATATATGGTCGATGGAAATTAAGTACTTAATTAAAACTTTCACTAGGCAAATGATATGCTTCATAAATTGTATCCGAATATAATCACTGTCGCTGAAGGTAAGAATTTTATCTATCAATCCATAAATCAATCCACGAATCAATACACGAATTGAACAGTTTCTAATTACATGAGCATATCTGCAGACGTGTCAGGAATGCCGGGACTATGCCGTCCAGTCTCAGAAGGCGGAGTTGGATTCGATTATCGTTTGGCAATGGCTATCCCAGATATGTGGATCAAGCTGCTGAAAGAAAAGAAAGATGATGATTGGGATATGGCCAACATTTGTTGGATACTAATAAACAGAAGACACATGGTAACTCAACAATGTCGATTACAAATAAAGTTGACTTTTTCTAACACTCAATTGTATTACAGGAGAAGAACATTTCATACGCAGAGTCACATGACCAAGCTCTTGTAGGAGACAAGACACTCGCGTTTTGGCTCATGGACGCAGAGATGTACACCAATATGTCTACCTTGTCGCCTTTAACTCCAACCGTTGATCGCGGGTTAGCTTTACACAAGATGATTCGGTAATATTACTGTCGTGTTGTTACCGACATTCTGACTCGATAAGTATTAACAAAGCTATTGCATTCGCCCATGTCTCAATCTAGTCTTATTACGCACGGCCTTGGGGGGGAAGGCTACTTGAATTTCGAAGGGAACGAGTTCGGACACCCCGAATGGCTTGATTTCCCTCGTGCCGGGAACAATAACTCGTATCACTATGCTAGACGACAATGGAACATTGTCGATGATCACTTGTTGAGGTATAAGTATTTGAATGAGTTTGACAAAGCTATGCAGAACTTGGAAGAAGAGTGGGGTTGGCTGAGCTCTCATCAGGTATACATATATTTGATTGTTAAGATAGGGTGACTCGTTTGATCCATTTTCAGTGTCTTAATATTACTGCTCCTTTTCCATCCAAGGCTTATATCTCTCTCAAACACGAATCAGACAAGGTAATAGTCTTTGAAAGGGGAAACCTGTTGTGGATCTTCAACTTCCATCCAACGAACTCGTTCCCCGACTACAAGGTCGGAACTGAATGGGCAGGAGAGTATAGGGTTGTGCTCAACACAGATAACAAGAGATTTAATGGATTTGGCCGGATAGACGAGTCAGTGACTTATTTCACCTCCCCGGAACCGTGGAATAATCGGAAGAATTCACTTATGGTAAGGAAAAACAATTAGAAAAAGATGTTAAAGTTCGATGTGGTTAAGAAACGGATTAATGTGTTTGTCTATTTTTATAGGTCTATATTCCTTGCCGGGTTGCTTTGTTGTTGGCACACAACTAAAATTGTAACGACAAAAAAATATTTTAATCATTGATTGTTATTATAATTATTAGCAGCTTAAACCGTTAAACCACTGTCTATTTTTATCGAGTTCTTAGTTAAATATTAGCCCTTCAGATCCTAGATTTGAAAATAGGCTTCATTTGAATAAAAAATTGTCGCGTTAGACTAAAACACAAGTGGATAGATGACTCACCTCTCTCTTGTTGTTTCGGAAATTTTGGCAAATGATTCGCTACTAGCGAAAGTATCTCATCAAACTTGTCTGTTAATCCCCTATCCTCGGAATCTTCTATGATCTGATATCAGAGGACACCATTTAGCTCAAGTACTTGGAATAATGATCAAGGACACTCTTTTAAAACATACCACATAAAGTTCAACAGGTCTTTCAGGCCTTAGGTTGATTATTTGTAATTTCTCGCTCTTAGTCAATGGATATGGTTTTAGTGCTTCTAACAAATTTTTAACCTGTTCGGCTGTTTGACTTCCGACTGGCGATTGATCAGAAGCAAGGTACTGCATTATCTAATCGCAATGTATTAATTACTGGTTTACAATGCAAGTCTTTATATAAATAATTGATTCAGAGATTAATACTTTATGTAACCTCGTATTGTATCGTTTTTAGATTCTCGGCAAAGAGTACTCCAGGTTCTGCCGCCAACTGTTCGGCATGTTTTGCGCCTAATTCACGGAGAACTTCGAGAACTTCAAAGTTTGATAGTAGAGCAGATTGAGCCTCTAACACCTATTAATACATGGACTCATTGTTTAGCTCTAAGACAAAAGACATACATAATCACGCAGACTTGATAGTTTACATGCATGGTCTGGTTTGGCTGTTGAGCGAAAATGATTTCTTGCTGTGGTAAAGTTTATCTCACGTGACACATATTCACCATACTAATAATTCATACGGCACTCGGTGTTTGTTCTAAGGTCATGATTTATTTCAAAGTTGAGGCTCTAACGCAATTCAAATTCTCCAATTATGGAGTACAGTCAAAATAATCACAAGCATTAAAAGAGTAGAGCATCGCGAGTAATTGTACCTTTCGCATGACATAAAAATAACGCTTCGAAATAATGTTGGTGAATATTTGTCGGTGATTGCCTCCTGGCTAGTTCAAGAAGAGAAACTCGATTTCTGACATGAATTAACGGTATATTATTATGCAGCTAAGACTTAAATTAATAGTTTTTATCTGCTAGCATGTCGTGCCAGAAAGCGCTGATCAGCCGAGATTTGCTCTATACTTAGAAGAAGCCTTCTCTTGATAGTTGGTGTGTTAGTATGGTTCAATCTCACGCAGTTAATACGTTCTTGCTGACAATAAACCTAGAAATAATAAATCGGGCCCCAAATCTCGTCTTCTAATAGCAAGGGAAACCATTAATAAATAGTAATTCGTTGATGTATCCGTGCACATGCACTCGACTTTATTGTAATCCGTAAGTTAAGGTTATTCACAATTAGGCAAGTATCAGCAAAGCAATCATCGATTCTAAATTATTAATGAAGTCTCCGTAATTGTTCATTATTATTATGTATTCGTTGATTTGTGACAGTTTATTTCAATTAATCAGAACAATCCTATCTATCACTACGCGTCTGGTTTTTGTATCACATTTAAAGTCAATTGATATTACGGAGCAATTCAATCTGGGACTTACTACAATCGTTAATGTCATTGGCGCCGAATTATTGTTCGACAAAATGCTGAATTTGTATCTATTTGGATTACAGTAGACTATTATATTGATAATGAACCTTGTTTTATTAGATTTTGATTTGCAAATTCAAATAATTAATTATCCAACAACTATTAAATAATAAAATTTATAATATGACTATTATAAACAACTAGCTACAGCCTGTCTCAATAACCGGAATATTTTTCACATAACTTAATTACGAGTAACTCGATCGAAAACAAACAAATTCGCGTTCTGTAAAATTTTGTTTACAGTATAACGAATCTTGGTGCTTTATAAACTCGAAGCTTTTTTCTTTGCCCACAGGTAGAAACTAAAATGTCGGGTTCAATAAGAAAATCAACGCCAAACTTTATTACATTTGTGGAATAACAGAATTCATACTGGAATAAAACTACATAAGTTAACAGACATACCACTTTCAACAATTTATGATAACAATAAAAGGGGCACTAATGCTCATACTGAAAGCCGGTTAACGCGAATGTTTCTAGAAAAGTGGGTCAATACATACATAGAAATCATTCTATATCAACCCAGAATCCCCGGTTTATTAACAAGAAATTATCCGAATTTTATAATAAATCTCTGTAATCCGTAAGCCGAAGGGCAGTTGCGAAAAAATACATGTCATATAATAATAAATTTTTTGCTAATCTCGAAGATCTTTCTTGTTAATCCGCAGATTGTGTTATCCGAAGAATTTACTTGCAATTTTTTTTATCGTTAGAATCAAAGGGCCTTTTACGAATGTATCGTAACCATATTCACTTTTTCGATCTTTAGTGTCACATAGGATATTATTATTCAGTCACGAGTTCGGGCCACGTTATATAAATTGGACCCCAGAAATTTGGCCCTTATATGCGCGTCCAATTTTGCGCGTGAATCTACTCGGTTCACTTTCCTGCGAATATGAACGAACAATCGCCTGCCGACCAGAATAATAAAAACGGAGATCGTTCTGTTTGTAACATGTAAGCCTTTATACTGTGCTACGATGTGATGGAATTAGTCTGAGGAAAGCGAGACCTGCTTAACAACGTTTAATGCTTTATAGGGATTTATTAAATGGCTTGTTAGCGGGCAGCGTTGAGCACTTACAAAACTCTTTCAGTAGCATCTATGCTGTAAGATCATGTCTTCTCTGTCAATAGAAACCAACATCTTTACACTGTATGCTCACATAATATGCCAAAACTTAGACATTAGCCACGAATTTTCAAACTACACTCGAAATGACGCAATCTATGAATGCCGTAATGGAACAACTACTCGTTTCGAACACCCGTATTTGTTCGTATAATACTCGTTTTTATCAATTAGATTTTTCTATAATCATATACGTGTTAATTGGACCCTTTTTTTTTTAAGCATCAAATGTTACGCAACTAGAGCAATATGACGGAAACGAGGAATGCACGCCAATACCGCTTACCATTACTGTATCCAACTTGAGCAATCTACCCATCAAAGATGCAGCATTTGACATTGTTTTTCAAAAAAAAGACAATGCGGAAGTAAGAGATTAGTCAATTTAATCTGTCACTAGCGTTACGATGCAAGGTTTTCTAATTTGCCAAAAGCAGAATTTCAATGCAATTTGCCCTACTTACATGGGTTTAGACCGCATACGTAAACATAAGCCATGCTGAATCATTTCAAAAGGGATTACGCAAAAACTCAAGGTAAATAACTTTAATTTCTAGATCATGGTATTGTACAAGCATACAATAGGTTTGTTCCACTATCTAATGTAGGGAAGAGCGAAGAATGGAATCACCAATATTTGAACCAATGGCACGATGTAATATTCCACCACAGACACAAATTATTGAAAAGTTAATATTGCTGCCGATGCAAATTGCGCAAGTATGTATCAAGTATATTGATTAACAAGCGGCATCGTGTTTGATTAAACTTTGCCTTTTCTCCCGTAACATACTAGCTTAATTGTAAAGTAACTGTAACATTCGCAAGTCCTGGCACAGGAAAAATACTCTATGTAGAGCACACTTTTGGCATTTATATAATTGATCAGGTACATCAATAAACTATGCGCGAATGGGACGTTGATCATCGAGTAGATTATAACTGATATCTTTTCCATCACAGTGTAGGAAGCAGGTACAAAAAGCTCTACCGGCACAGGAGTTTGATTATACGTGTTCAGTGTCTTTGCCAACATCTCTGCTTCGACAACTATGGAATGTTCATCCATGTGATGGCATAGATGAGAGTACAGTTTTCGAGCTCGTAGCAAAAGAGGTGCGTTTGCAACTGGCTATTTTTTCAAGAGTATTTTTGTAATAATACGTTAACGTCTTCAACAGTATGCAGAAGTTACCAGGGTGTTTATTCAGATCTGCAGCTGGAGCCAAAATAAGGCTATTGCACATTGCCAGATTATGGTTCATGGAAGCCAGGAGATTTTTACCAAGATCAAGAAAGAGTTGAGCGTACTATGTGAAACGCAAGAGAATCTGATCGACTAGTAGAAGTTGAAGATGAGAAAATAAAGATTCTTATCCATGTAATGTAAAGTACCAATAATCAGTGCTATCGTTTTAGGACCCCTGAGATTTTGATCATCCAATTAGAAATTTATGATGGGTACCAAATGAATTATAAATAAAGAATGCTCTTCTCATTCGTATTAAATATGTCGTCCAAAGCACAAAGTGTTATACAGTTTATCGTAGAGCGATTTGAAAATTTAAATAGACAACGACGTTTTTCTTTAAAGCCACTTATAATAGGCATCAGTGGAATTCAAGGTTGTGGTAAGTCATTGAGGTGGAGGACTTGGGAGGTTTATTTGCACACTCACATTTATCTACAAAACATGTCAAGGCAAAACAACACTAGTCTCTAACGTTGTCAGAAAACTCGATCAAGACCACAATTTGGTGGCCGTTTCATTCTCAGCGGATGATTTTGTTCATACGTATGAGAAGCAAGTACAAATAAAATTAAACAACTCGCAGAATCGTCTTCTTGAGAAGCGTGGACTACCAGGCACACATGATGTAGCTTTCTGCAGAGACACATTTGCAGCATTATGTAAAGCTCAGTATGAATATGCTACCCGTATTGGAGAAACAGAAAAGGAAGCAAGTCCCGTACTTGTTCCAAAATATGACAAGTCATGTTACAACGGAAAAGGGGATCGCGTTCCCGAAGATCAGTGGCAAAGGATATTACCACCCATTGATTGTATACTATTTGATGGGTGGTTTCTTGGGTTTAAGCATTTGCCTGATGAGGTTTTAAGCAGAATATACAACGATGCGTTACGCCGGCCAAATGGAGAAGAAAAACCCTTATTCTTGTCTCATGCGTTATCACATCTATTAACAATCAATAACAATTTGAAAGAATACGAAACAAGTTTGTATCCATTCATTGACATATTCATTCATATCGACACAGAGGATATTAATGTTGTTTATAAATGGCGTCTTGAGCAAGAACACAGAATGATTGCAAAAGGGATGACTGGGATGACGGATATAGAAGTAAAGGAATTTGTGAATCGATATATGCCAGCATATGAGTTGTACCTTCCAAAATTACGAGAAAATAGTTTTTTTGAGCAAAATGGTCACAGTTTTGAAGATATCTCTGGAAGACATTTGAGGTTACTGATTGATGAAAACCGGGATAGAATTTCAGAAGTAATCTTATGAAAAGGTTCAATCATTAGTAGGTGTCGTGGTTTAATCAATCATGATTTTATGATTGACTCTCACATAATAATGCTCGGAGATATGGTTTACATATTCTACTTTAGTTCAGACACAGATTATGGTTGTAATTTAATTGTCGCAGATGTTCGTGATCATAATAATACTTTACAATATAAATAATATTAATATCAGCTGCATTGTGTCTGACACTATTGTTCAAAAGCAGAGTATTTGGCGATAGATATAATATATAAACATATAAATAACAATAAGGCGAATTTTTATGTGTTATATGTTCCAACAACAGTCGTTGGATATAAAAATAATTAGCTTTAAAAGAAAGAAAAACAACACCCAACTGAATTCCACTGCATTAAATTTCAACTCAATAGAGATAAATACACATCCTCATACTCTCCAACCCTTGTTTTATACAAACTTCTCTCCGTTCTCTAATACTTTAACTAATCCAGCAATTACTTTAGCCATGCCATCTCCCAATAAACCTCCTTTTGTTCCGGGAGCGCCAGTCTGTTCAT